CCACCCCACCCCCCATCCCCATGTGCAGAATACGTGTACAAAGATTACGGTAAATCTGTTTTATTTTGTCAGGATGTTACTACAAGTATTGCTCAAATCACACATACTGTGACACTGAAAACACGATTTATCACATACTTTATAAATTGTGAGGTATTGAGGGGAAATCAGGTGATCGTCAAAATAATGAAATTGAAGAAACTGACATTGATTTATCACATACTTTATAAATTGTGAGGTATTGAGGGGAAATCCGGTGATCGTCAAAATAATGAAATTGAAGAAACTGACATTTTCTGTCTTTTTGGCAATTTTTATCGAATTTTTGTTTTTTGACTGAACACCTTTAAGGTTAATTTAAAAACACATTTCTGTGTGGATTTTACTGAAAAATGTTGATTCAAGGCACAAAAAAGAAAATTTGGAGTTTCTAAGGACTCTTGAGAGCTTTGGAAGTCGCCAAACTTGCATATTATTTTACCTCAGAAACCAGGCAACTCCCACTTCCTTCAATCACAAATATCTCAACTTCTATTCATGATAGGTGAGTATTTTTTTCACTGAAAGCAAGACAAATGAACAAGCTTTAAAATGATACCAATATCTCCACATGTCCAAACACTGACGAGAGCCTGATTCCACCATGTTTGTGTGACACAATTGATAATACAGTAAACCAACAGTTCTTTTACATAACAGCATTAACATGTTAACAAATTATGGCATTGCATCCACACAAGTTTGCAAAATGAAATGATTTTTGTGTAAATCCTCAAGTGTAAATGCTCAAGACGTTGAAACACACACAAAAAAGGGCTGCCAATGAAAATAAATGAGACTTCTGCATTACCAAAAAGAATTCTCTCAACAAATTTAAAAGAAAAGAGCATGATGTATACAAACAAAATGATCTCTGTAATTAGTAAATATCAAAACAAAATGAATAATAATTCCCTGAGCTTTTCCTGCCTCACTATACTTCATCATAGAAAGATTGGTTATTATTCTTGATTTCTTGATTAAGAGCTTGGTATATAATTGTTCTTGATTTCTTGATTGAGAGATTGGTATTTAATCATCCCATGTCTGATTTTTTTTGGGATCTCCTTTGCTTGTTTTTAGTTCAACAAATACAAAGTCCACATCACAACTCAATTAACTGAAGCAATATGCAGTGGAATAGGAGAAGATACAAAATAATCCTCATCACAGCCTTACACTTACATGTTCGTATGAACACATGATGTAATCAACTATTCCCAAAATCAATCAAAGGACTTTTTCAAGAAATTTCATTCACAGTTTGATGAAAACTATTTCCTCACAGAGTTAACAGCTTTGGAAGGAGAAAAAAATTTCGCCTTCAATTTAAAACAAATTTGTTACTTATTCCCTGCTTATTTCTGTGAAATGTTCCATGCATTTCAAAGACTGTTGACTAAATTGATGAAAAAAGCAAAAAGTGTCTCTCTCTTAATTTAGTGACAGCTTGGCTAATCTAATGTCATGGAACTTTTCAATTTAGAGATACATGTACCTTTGTTTCAATACATTTTTCAGTATTTCTTGAAAAATTAAGCAATTTTTATCATAACATAACCCAGCTAACACAGAATCGTGGCACCAGTTGGTTACCATATAAGGCCGCCCAGACCTCCCGGTATTTCAACATCTTTACCTTGATACCACAACGCGCCCAGTGGGAAGTCCCACCTGTTCTGGACCGCGTAATGCTGGCTTATCGCTGACTGAGCTTACCACGTGGCTCGGAGAAAACGCCCTCCGTGATAAACGTGTGCACAGGCCCATGACTGGGATAGAACGTAGCCACTGCGGTAATAAAAACCACTACGACATAATGGTTTTACAGCCTGTCTGCAACCTGTATTCTTTCATATTAGGAGTGATTTTTATTACATTATTTCATTTCAAAGAACGATATTGAGTGGTGTTTATTACTGTCAATGGCAATAAGAAATAATTGTTACATTTCTGGGAAGACTTCTTATAGTATTTATGAGTGCGTTTACAATTACATACTCAAGAA